ACACACACACACACACACACACACACACACACACACACACACACACCAATATAATGATAAACACGTATACAATTTCATCGAGTTCACGCATATACACACAAATACCTTCAGAAACATTTTCAACTGGACAACATTTAAACCAAACTTCTGTCCCTTTCAATATGAGCCTTTTGATGTTACTATCTTACAGACTCTCTGTTCTAAAGCATTATTCCCTTATCTTCCTTCAACGGCACAGTTACACAAGACACTACAGCCTCTGTGGTCGGCGATCTAATCATTATTCCCATCAGTAGTTTCTCGACAATACCTCAGATTTCGGAGGGAAATAAAATCTTTCGCTTGAACAACACGTAGGACGACAATTTAGAGGGGAAAAGTCAGACCTCCAACATCCTTTTACTTTTTTTCTGACCACATTTTGTGAACTTTTAGTCTTGATTTTCAGTCGCTTCGTCTACGATAGTGACGATCAAAAGAGAAATAAAAGCAGTATAGTACAGTCGTGCGCAAAACATAATCGATTTTTCTGCGTCTAGGAAACATTTTTTATGTCAGGACAAAATTGCAATTCAGAAAAGTTCTTGATATTTGAGCCACTTGAAACTGAAAATATTGCTTACAAACAAAAATTAAATACATCATAATATTGCATTCAGCAAAACCAGAGTCGTATATAAAGCTGACCCCCGCCCCCTTCCGAAAAATACAAACAAAACAACAAAATGAAACAAAGTATAAGCTTTCTTTCTTTAAATCAATAATAAATTAATTAATTAATTAATTAATTAGTTAATTAATCAATCAATAATAATAATTTTTTAAAAATAATAATAATAGTTACAGAAATAAAGAAACCAACAAGAATAAACAATCCCAACAAATAAGAAAAGAAATTTTTTGTGTATACAAACAAATACAAATACAAATAGCTACCACCCACCCCACACGGAAAACAAAATAAAATAAAAATCCCCCAAAAATATATTTTAAAAGCCCGCAGTTCAGAAGAACTCCCTGAAACACCATTCCATCCATACAAACTAAGCTCCCGTGGAGATTAGTAGAATTCATTGAGACATGAATAGTTCTTTCCTGGCCTCATCGACTTTCGATCAGACTTCCTGTGTAGAAGACTTTCCGCGGAAGGCTCCCCTGTAATTCCCGTTCTGTCAGTAGCCCTTGTTGGAACACGCAACTACAGAAACACGCGTATTACCGCCATCTAAAATCTAAATTATTTCCAATTTTTAATGTTCGCATGACATGAATAGCTGGACCAGATTATATGATTGTAAACCCGTAGACAAAAATACAATTACTGAAAAAAACCCAACTAAGTTGCACCCCCCCCCCCCACCTCAACCACACACATACCCCTTAGAAAACGCTTGACCCAACGCGCTGATCCACGTTCACTTTCAGGGGGGGGGGGGGCACAGCGGGGTTGATGCTTTACCTTACAAGAGTAGAAAACACCAGGGTGTGTTCGATGTAATACATAAAGAGAAGGAGGAAAAAACAGTGGGAAGGGTATGCCTCACTTTTGCCAGATTATTCGGAAACGGACTGCTTCGATTTTGCCTGTCAGGGCCATACCAGGCTAAGTGGGAGTTGGCATTCAAGCAGAACGACATACTCGATGAAATAAGCTTTCCTAGTTGGGAATCCAGTTTGCGTCTTCTATGAGTAAGATACAAAATAAAGAGCATAATAATAATAA